GGGGGGGGGGGGGGGGGGGGGGGGGGGGGGGGGGGGGGGGGGGGGGGGCGGGGGCTCCGCCGGGCTCTCTAGGACGCCGGCGCCCCTCACACCCACCATGGATCTGCTGCTGCTGGTGAACACGAGCCTGGGCTCCCCCAACGAGTCCCTGGCGCTGCCCCCCGCCTCGCCGTCCTCTTCGGCCCTCCTTCGGCCGCCCTCCCCCTACTCGCCGGCGGCCGTGGCCAGCCTGGCGGCGGTGGTGGGCTTTCTCATCGTCTTCACCATCGTGGGCAATGTGCTGGTGGTGATAGCTGTGCTCACCAGCCGGGCTCTGAGAGCCCCTCAGAACCTCTTCCTGGTGTCCCTGGCCAGCGCGGACATCCTGGTGGCTACCTTGGTCATGCCTTTCTCCCTAGCCAACGAGCTGATGAATTACTGGTACTTCGGCAAGGCTTGGTGTAACATTTACCTGGCGCTGGATGTGCTCTTCTGTACCTCGTCCATCGTCCACCTGTGTGCCATCAGCCTCGACAGGTACTGGTCGGTCACACAGGCGGTGGAATACAACCTCAAACGGACACCCCGGCGGATCAAGGCCATCATCCTCACGGTCTGGCTCATTTCAGCCATCATCTCCTTCCCGCCATTGATCTCCGTGTACCGGGACCCTGAAGGAGATGTCTTTCCCCAGTGCAAGCTCAATGACGAGACATGGTACATCCTTTCTTCTTGCATAGGCTCTTTCTTTGCCCCCTGCCTCATCATGGTGTTGGTCTATATCCGCATCTACCGCGTGGCCAAGCTAAGGACCAGGACCCTCTCTGAGAAGCGTACGATGCCAGAGGGGTCCTCCCAGACTGAGAATGGCTTGAGCCGCGCTGCTGGCGGCTGCACGTCCATGAGGATGCAGCTGGGAGAGAATGGACATTATTCGGTTCACCACTGGCGCAAAGCCTCTGAGCTGGAGGACATTGAGCTGGAGGAGAGCAGCACCTCAGAAAGCAGGCGGAGGCGGAGCCGGGAGGAGCATCCCCGCAAGAGCAGCAAGAGCCAGTCCTTCTCCTACTCATACTCCTCCAAGCACTCCAGTAGCCGCCTGTCCCGCGCCAGCAATCGCTCCATGCAGTTCTTCTCATATCGCCGTCGCCGGAAGCGTAGCAGCATCTGCCGTAAGAAAGTTGCCCAGGCCCGTGAGAAACGCTTCACTTTTGTGCTGGCTGTGGTCATGGGGGTCTTTGTAGTTTGCTGGTTCCCTTTCTTCTTCAGCTACAGCCTCTATGGTATTTGCCGGGAGGCATGCGAGGTCCCTGAAACTCTCTTCAAGTTCTTCTTCTGGATTGGGTATTGCAATAGCTCCCTCAACCCAGTCATCTACACCATCTTCAATCAGGACTTCCGCAGGTCCTTTAAACACATTCTTTTTAAGAAGAAGAAGAAGAACTTCCGGCACTGAGCTGGAGGGATGGATTTGCCTCGAGAAGGAATAGAGTTAAAAGAGAAGGAGATGGCTCAATGCTGGAGAAGAAGGGAGGGAAGAGAACATGGGGTTTGGGCTTAGGGAAGAGGGCTGGCCCCCTTGGTGGAGCAGGGTGGTGCTGTGGGTTACAGGGATGGTGTTGGGGAGGCTGAGGGCATTCAGTGTGGTACAGATGGGCAGCATGGTGCTGGAGGAGCAGTGCTGGAGTTTGGATGGGTAAATGGGAAGGAGAGTGATTGTCTTTGAGCCCTGATGGAGGGTGTGGGGAGCCTGCAGAGGAAAATAGGCTAAGACACTGAGTCTGGGAGGCAGTGAGCTTTTATGGGCTCTCTGGAGTTTTGTGGAAAAACAAAAACAGACTTCAAGAGGAAAGGGTTAAGTGGCAGTGATGGTGGAGATTTCAGTATTTATAAATAGAGCAGCTGGGGCCTATGGTGGATTTGTCCCAGTAAGAAATTGGCTTTTACTGCTTGTGTGGGGAAGGAAAGTGCAAAGTACCAGGCACTGACAGTGTTTTGAGTTATGAAAGGATTTAAATGTTTGCCAAAAAACCCTAAAGAACAATCCAAACTCTTTTCTAAATAAACCTTTGTACTGTTAAAACCTTCTGAATCATGATTTTGCACAAGGGATGAAGTCAAAGAGAAAGCATGGGGTTTTCTTTTCCTTTGAAGAGGTCTTGCCTATAGAGCTGGCTGAGAAACATTTTTCCTCTCTTCCCGTAGTTTTTGATTAGTCAGTGGGACAAACCTAGGAGTCTTGCATTTTTTCATGAAATATGAAAAAGAGCACATACACCACATGACCTCATTTGCCCCTGATGGATCACCAGGCAGTAAATTCCTGCTCCATCCCTCTCAGATCAGTGTCCTGGGGACCTTGTTGTCCTGGAGCAGATAGTGAAAAAAAAGTGATTTTGGTGACTTTGCCTAACATTTTCTGAGATAAAAGGAAAAAAACAAGTTTTCACTTGCATGTGCCCAGGGGAACTTCCCCCCTGTCCTCTCCCTCTTTTTCAGTGCCCCTCAAAAGGCTAATCTCAGGGCTGGATTTGTGCTGCTCTCATTCTCAGACAGGCAGTTGAAGGCAGTCTGCTATGCAGATTTTCAGAGGAAGAGCAATCACCGCACCACTAAGGTCTTTAAATCCTTCGTATTTACAGTCTTAGGACAACTAAATCCTTTATATTTATTTTTTAATAAGAAGCATACATTGCAGATTGTCAGTGTCGTATGTGAACAAATCTCAAAAGAAGGTGCAGCTGTTCCAAACCTTTAGTATTAGTGTTGCTTGCTTTCTCTTCTCTTGTTTGCATTTCTAGTTTATGATTTCAGAGGATTTTGTTGGGAGGAGGGAGGAAGAGGGGAGTATAGTTTGAATAGTTATTAAAGAAAACCATATTTCCCATGGGTATATAAAATGGCATAAACTGCAATGAAGAGAATGAGAGGCAGGGACTGGTGTCTGTACATTCATCACTGGATGCATATCAAGTGTAAGACTCAGCTGAGCATTTACATCCCTTCTCCAGCTGTGCTGCTGCAAGGTGTGTATTCTGTTTATGGGGTAAATACTGCTCCATTCTATGTGTATCACTCCTTCCATTGGCAGCAGGATTTGGCATCTGCCTCAGATGAACCTTTCCATAGCAAACAGTTCTTTGAAAGAATGAAATCAGGCTTCTTAAAACAGCTAAATTGAATCTATACCTGAGAATCATTAGATATCCCTTTCCTTACTCCCTCCGTTCTTTCTGTCTGTAGCCTCTCTTCTCTTGAAATCTCTGTGTCATAAGGAGAAATGATAGAGCAGTCACTTTGTTTCGTCAGTTTTTCATAATAAGCATTTGGTTCCCTTAACCCTGGAAAAGGAGATTGTCAGTGGCTGAAGTTCTGGTGTTCCTTCAACAGACTCGTGTTCAAGTGAGAGTTCTGCTGAAGTAGGTATTAGATGATTGCACCAAATGCGTTAGAACTTTGCTTGATTTCACTAAAGAAACAGCTGAGACATTTTCAAAGTCCTAAGTGCATAACTGCCTGGATACTTTCTTGAAATAATGCTCAGAGCGTGAAAAGATTTGAGCATAGTTTAAATAACAAATGGTTTGGTACAAATATGTACCTGAGGCAGAGAAATGAGAGGAAAAAATAACAACAGAGAGGAGGAAATTACAAGCCATTTTCTCTTTTGCAAAATGGAGAATTCTTTTTAAAGTTACATCAAGAAGAGCTGAAACAAGCTCCTATTATTTGTAGGTAACGATGTAGCTAAAAAGTTCAGGTTTGTTTAATCTGAAGAAACTATATAATCACCAAAGCAACATATGGTACCTGGCTACTACCTCTGAGCTCCTGGATGGCTTCATTAGAGATGCCCGTTTCTGCCAAGATGAAGGTCTGCTTTTGTCACTTACTGCTGGTTTAGACGGTTTTCCCAGTCTGCAGACTCACAGTGGTTTCACTGTTGCACTGCTTTTGAAATGAGACTGTGGCCTGTAAACAGAGTCCTTCCTTTTTTTTTTTTGTTTCCCTTGTAGAATTTAGGGAATCTGCAGGTGAAATTTAATTGACAGTCAGATTTTAATTGACATAAAGTATAAATGGAATGACTGATGTGCCTTAAAAGTAAGTTCTCTGCGATAAAAATATTCTGTGGTCATTATAAACATAAAGGAAATGATACTTCTGTGTTTGTTTTGCACTTCCAAAAGTTTAAAAGGGATTGATGCAGATAATGAATATCTATGTGCAACAGCATATTTAAAAACAGGGCATTTTCTGTGGTTTTAATCTATTTCTCAACACAATTTCAATCTTTCTAATCTGATTCAGTGCTTCAAAAGGATCTTATTTCTTCTGAGCTAGATAAAAAGTAATATTCATCAATAAAGACGTGCAGTTTACACCCCTTTTAAGTGCATTTCCCCCTAAATTAGTGAATATAGAGGATTTCTATAAAAATTGTTTTTAATATAACAACTGAATATGCTTCAAGTAAAATGGGGCTGATTTATTTTTTTTAATTACAGTGTTCTCTTATTACTTGTAATAGCTGAAGACTGGAATTTGTTTGTAACATATTGTGTGGTGTTAACTTTTCATAAAAAGTTGTCAGCTCTGCTACACTGTGGTTGTGCTTCAACTGTAAGTTGGCTAATAGCATATATAGGAAAAAATAGTCTATGCAGCTTTTGCTCAAAAAAAAAGGGAGAAGATATTTTATGTTTTAAATGCGTCAAGTTGTTTCTTTGATCACATCTGATGAGCTGGCTGAAACACTCTCTACTGTTGTGGAAGAATGAAATGTTGCTGTGAAGCCATATCGATTTTAACAAGTACCTCATCCTTAACTCTTCATTTACTCATTTCACCATGAAGAAAATTTTCTGTCAGTCTTAAGTGAGAAGTTAATGTTTCATTTTCAAAAACAATTTTCTGAACAGTGCCATTGTTGGCTGGGTATTGAAATATTGAACAGTGTCACTTAGCTGGGATGGGAACTCAGTGCTGCTGTCCTTCTGCTGCTTCTGTGGGAGTTTTGCGTGAGTGAGAAACGCGGAATTAGCCTCTTCAAGGCTTGAGGCAGATGGAAGGGGCCTCACATATAGGAGATTTGACAGGATCACAGTTTTAAATCAGCGTCTGAATTAAGAAGCAGGCCCTTGTTGTTCTGTGTGATCTCTGTTCATAAGAATTATGTTGCTGCAAGAGGACTCGAGATTTCTGAGAAGCCGATCTGAAGTAAAAGACTAAATGCAGCTTTGCCCAGATTGGCCTGTATTATCCTTTGTGAGTAATCCCAGGAAACTTCAGTTTGCTTGTGAATGAAGAAACTACTCAGTGTGGGCAAGGACTTTAGGAGCTTCCGTAGACACTGCCTCTTTTTTAGTAACTGTGCCTGAGGAATTTAAGCAAACATTTGTGCGTAAATATAGGAGAACAGAAGGAATACAATCCTCTCTGCTTAACTTTTTCTACTGTTCAAACCCATAGAAGATGTGGATTAAGGTTTTTCTGACTATATAACCAGAGGAACAAACCCTATTGTATATTTTTAGTATAAGCTGTGTGAAGAGCATTACCTGCTTGCATCTGTCTTTCAGAGGAGAAAAGTGTTGGTCTGTGAAAGTTGGCATTGGTTAGAAAAGCAGCTGAGAAGTGTAAGGATTTTGCAGCAAATGTGAGTAACAACATGCATTTCAGAAGAATGTTCTGACCTTAAACTATGACTACTCTCAAGAAGGAGAGAACACCTCCAAGCTGTGCAAGAGGAAGGTCAGATGCTATCTGTGAGTTTGTTTTCGTGGTTGCTTGTTGTGACCTGGTTGGTGAGCAGGAAGCAACTGTATGCTTCAGGCAATAGGCTCTAATTTGGAGGGGGAACAGTGCATGAGGAAGTGGCAACCCACAACACTGGGGGAATTAGTATTTACACACTTTCTTTGCACTGCAGCCAAGTACAGTGGAGGAATTTGCCTTTTTTGTTGCACAATAGCAAATGTTAATCTGTCTTTCAGATGTGTGGGTCAGCTAGGCCATACAAAAGATGACACAGGAGAGGGCAGATAGAGGATTGCTCACTTCAGTGTTCAACGCCAAGCTTAAATTTGTCCTTTGTCCTTGAAATTAAGCCAAAAATACAGTTTGGCACTTGGACCCAAAGGCTATGTAGCATCAATAATGCTACACTGAATATAGTCTAGTTTTAGCAAAAAGCATCAGTTCATATTATACACCCTGCATATCTCTGTTTCAGGGCAGAAATAGGAGAGTCTGACACTTAAAGCATGTGAAAAAGGAGTAAACAGGAGTTTGAAGAGTCACAGGTGTATTGTGAAATTTCCTAGATCCTATTCTGATAACTGAGCTGGTTTAATTTTGTGGGTCCCAAACACTTTGAACTCCTAAGAAAGTCTTAGGGAGGTAAAAAACATGGAAACAGTAGAAATACTGCTTCTCAAGGAAGCAAAAAGTGGCAAATTGCTCAGAGAGTCTTGTTCAGATGTTTGTACCAGATGCCCTGTCCTCCAGTGGGTGGATAATTGTTACTGTGGGGTATCTTCAACTCACAGTGACTTCCATGCTTGGTCTGAATTAAGGTAATACCTACAGTTGGTACATTGCCTTTGTTTGAAGAGGCAGCCCTTAGAATATGACAGAAGGCATTTTAAGTAGGTTTTCTCTCCTCTGGCACATGTCCTTCACTACACTATTCCAAACATTTTTTAATTCAACTGCACAATGGTTTATAAGGTAAAGAAAGATTGTCAGTATCTTAGAGAAAAAAAAGACAGAGAGGCATGGAAAATAGTAGGTATGGAAACCTGGTGTCTTAGTCCTGACCTAACATCTTACTGCAATACCAGTCTTTCTTCCACCACCACATTTTTCTCTTTTGGAAAACAGAAATCAATGCAAAATTGCAGAAGCTTGTTTTTAACAGACTACACTGATGATACTGTTTACACTAGAAAAAAAAGAGAGCTTTTCTCTCAATAAATAGCATTCTACTGTAAAGCAATTTTCTTTACTACACTTGTCTGAAAAATCTAATGAAAAGTAGACCAACATTTAATTCAATTTGTTTATATGTACCTCTCTTAACAAAAGTGGTTTATTATAGGTCCTGAATGTAAACGGCACAAATCAAATGTAGCTCCCTGCTACATCAAAATCAATTAGTTGTGGTTCAGCATTTTTCTGAACAGCAGTCATTCATTTTGCATGATGCTCTTTCCTGATAGCTGTCTGCTGACAGAGAAAGCTGTTCACCCCGTTGACAACAAGAATAAGATGAGGATTCCTATTTACCTCTATCATGTTAAGTCTCCTCTAATACATTAGAAAGCAGGCCACTAGAAGTAGGTCTTTTCGTGGTAAGTGACATGAATCAGAGAATTAATAACCTGACTGGTTCCAAGATGTACAGCACACTTAATCAAGGGGCTAACCCTAGACTGTGGGGACATGCTTCTCATGTTTTAGTTCTCTGTGCCTTTGACCCAACATTGCAAATTATTTGCTCTGTAGTGGAACACTCAGCACAGCATCCCTTTCAACCTAGTCTGCTCGAGTAAGAAATTAATACTGAGGTCTCCCACTTCCTCACTAAGTGCTTTCACCGATAGACTATTTATAAAGGTGATGCAGCTAAAATGCCTTTCCTTTTGGCACATAAATGTTTTATTTGATCTAGCTTTTTATCTCTCAGTAGACTAACACTCTCATTCCACAAGGACATTCTCTATCTGGAAAGCAAACACATGTCAAATACTTGGAGGAATATTAGAAATCCTGAAAAACCCCAGCCACTCCAGGTAAATTCTAAAAGAAAGCAGCACAGC